ACTGGGTGATTTTTAAGATCACTCCAGTCTCTTTCCTTTTTCTTCCTCTTTCTTCTTTTCCTCCATATCTTCTTTTCTATTTCTTGTTTTTGTTTGTTTGCCTTTAAGAAATCCAGGCCTAAATTTTGTCAGTCAGCTGTAGTTCCTTGATCTTCCTCTGGCCACTTCAACCACTATCATAATAAAATGGCAGTTTACTTATTCCTGTGTGAAAAAGAACTTTTAAAAGTCACACAATGTCCAACTTCTGCCTCAGATAATAAAGACTAATCTTAGTCATGCACCGTGAGAAAATATAATTAATAAGAGAATCTATTTGCAGTAGTGACCCAAATTAAGTATTGGGTATTATTTTAATTAGACAAACTCTAAAACCTAATGATAACAAAGACTTGTTTGTATAACATTGATAAGCGTTGAAGTGTCAGTGAACCTTGCACTTGGGAATTGCTTCCCACAAAGCTTGCTGAAACTGTTTTGATACCATTTGTGCTTAAGACCCATGCTCAGGCAGACAGCATGGACATTTTAGAGAGGATGCGGATTACATGGACCTGGTGCAGGCAGATCTTCCCCTAAAACAGTAGTGTGGACCAAATTCTCATAGAATCGAATTGTTTCTATTTTGACATTATTGTGAGAAATAGTTTTGCAATGTACACACTGTAACAGAACAGAAGGAACTGTGGCCAAGGAACGATACAGAATCTGGGCACTTTTGGAAACCTACTACATTCCTGCACACTACAAAATTATTTCTCCTCTGGCACATTGTGGGAGATAGCATGGTGTTCTCCACCCTCATTCCTTTCAACTACGTCATTCCGGTAAAGAAATGTGGCAATTCTTATACCCTCAATGTGGTGAAAGAAGTCATGATTGCTGCAGGTTGTTTTTTACTTGTTTCCAGGGAAGACTGGAGTCCTTACAAGCCAAGACTTTTTGTTTCATCTCCGTATTTCAACAACCAGCTTGTAGAGCCAGGTCAAGAGTCACCAAAAGTCTATGAACATTTAGAGAAATGAGTCAATACTGACAGTCTTTAGACAGAAGCAGTAGTACAGCTTCTTGGACTTAGATTTACTTAGGAAGTTGGCATTTAATTGCCTTTCTTCTTTTATTTCAGGTGCTGGGGATCGAACCCAGGGCCTTGTGCAGACTAGGCAAGTGCCCTTTCCCTGAGTTATCTCCTCAGCTTTATGGTTCTTCAAAGCATTTTTACTGATCTCAGATCATAATTTTCCTTGATTTTTTTTTTTTTTTTTTTGAGACAGGGTCTCCCTGTAGCCCCAGCTGTCCTGGAACTCAATATGTAGACCAGGCTGGCCTTGAACTCACAGAGATCTGCCTGCCTCTGCCTCCCAAGTGCTGGGATTAAAGGCGTGAGCCACCATGCCCGGCCAATTTTCCTTGCTAAGGCCACTCCAGTGTTAGTTAGATCTGTAGCTTTTCCTATAATACATTAGTATTTAACCACTCCTAACCCTCTTCAAAACATGCATTCTTATTCCTTTGCTTAAGTGAGTTTTGACTTAAGATTTTAGACCTGAGTGTTTAAGTTTACATATTGCTCTTGAGACTGTGAGTAGAACTGTTCCAGGAAATTTAAAGAACTACTTGTTTACATTGACTTCCTGGGTAGTGGTGTAACTGGAGGTATGAAGGAGCGAGCTCTTTCCTTTTATGGTTTTGATTTATGGTTTTGAGGAAACCACCCTTTAGAAAAGGTGCATGGAAAAATGCTATTATTTTAACAAATCACACACTGTTGTGTATATTGGGGGAGGGGTAGAGATAGATACTATTCTGACTATAGACATTTGTTCCACATTTAAAAATTTAAAATTTTCAGTAGCTTGTGACTAGAAGAAAGTTTATTACAGGAAAATTTATTACCTTCAGGTACATTTAGAGATCTGACATGTAGCTGATATTTTCATAGTGTGAGAAATATCAAGCTGACATTACACTGTCTCTGTGATGATTGCTTCTAAATGTCAGAGTGCAAGAAATGTATTCATGGGACTTCAGTGTCTTAGGAGAGTGTCAATTTAAAAGACATTCACATCGACTTTTTATTTAAACATGCTAAATGAAGTATGAAAAGCAGGTTAAGAAATCAACGAAAAAAAGGAAGAAAAAAGAAGAAACCTATTGACCAGAAAAATTTAAATACAGTAATAGATTGCTATACTTTCACATCAATTTCCATGGGCCCCTTGCTGACAGCAAGTTCTGGTGACTGCCTAACACTGCTGACAGCTGTAATATGCTGTTACATGAGTTCACTCCTACCACACATTGAATTTGAAAAATTAAAAACAACATGAGGACTATTCAATTATTGTGTAGATCAGCTTTAACAAGTATGTCAAATAACCAAATTAATATTTCCCCACCACTTTCAATAGTAACATTGGACTTCAAACTAAAATTGAATAACTTACTGATATTTTAAATTAAAAAAAATTATTCTGCTCCCCAAGTCTCTTTAGCAGTTAATTATGAACCCACTGGACTTGCTGAAACTGCTGCTATTTTGGAAATAACTCAAAATGAATTATTTTTTTTCTTTTAAAACAAATTGGTTGAATTATAGGTAGTTATGAGTTTAAATAAACCTTTGTCTTTCCAATTATGTGCACAGCAGGGCTCCTAATTGCTTGGGGTCACTGAAATCTCGGATATCCCGTGGGCAGCGGTTTTTCCTGCAGTCTATCTTGTCAGGTTTCCTTTCTGTTCTTGGAAGACAATATTTCTTCCCTTTCCAGATTCCCTTTTTAGCAACAGTGGCAGTGATGATGGTGATAGTAATGGGAGTTCATTCTTAGAGTCAGGCAACTTTATTCAGACTTTCCTATAGGTCAGTGGCAGGAGCCACTATGGACCCAAACAGATCCGTTGATTCATCTTACAAAATATTATTTCTGATATGAACAAAAGTTGTGGGATCTCCTGGAGCAAGCAATGAGCTTCTGAGAGCTTCAGAATTTTAAACTGTTACTTGAAAAATAAAACGATAAGCCAAACACATCCAGACAGAACTACTTACCAGCAGGTAATTGACCTTATTCACCAAAATCAAAGTTGTAACAGGATGGATGGCTGATGTTGCTATTCTATCAGTATTGTTCACATTTTAAAGTCTAGGTCAAGATTCAAAGATGATGATTTCACAATTAAATTTCCATAGTCACAGTGGTAATAGACACGTTGTTATGCTGTGTGCATCAACTATCACACAAAACAGGAGCTAGGGTTTATAGCCTTGGACCACAACCCCAACAGACTAGGAATCTCAGTTCTCACCCTCTCTTTCTATACCTTTTAAGAAAAGGTCCAGGAATCCAAACCATATCTATAATCCCAGGGCCAGTGACCAGTTCAGCATGCTGGAGGTCATCATCAGTCATGTTTTTTTCCAGAATTCCCTGACCTCCAGGGTCACCAAAGCAATTTTGTGTTTTGCTTACTGTGGGATCTTGGACACAAAGTTGAAGAGCCAGATTTTTTTTTTAAATGATTTATTTAATGACCACATGATTAGAAGAAACATTTCATTACAGACATATTCCATAACAATTTCCAGAGTGAAGATGCATGTCTTTCAATATTGGCTGTAGATTTTTAGGTTCACAGTTGAATTAATACAGTTACACAATATTGAACTCAGTATAAACCCTATAAGACGTAAACTTGAATGAAATTTTAACCTTTAAAAAAGATCTCCATTTCATTTTAAAATATTCTGCTTCATACAGAAAAAACTCTTTTTTTTTGAGACAGGGTCTTCCTGTAGCCCCAGCTGTCCTGGAACTCACTATGTAGACCAGGCTGGCCTTGAACTCACAGAGACCTGCCTGCCTCTGCCTCCTGAGTGCTGGGATTAAAGGTGTGGGCCACCACGCCTGGTTAGAAAAACTCATTTTTAATGCTACTAACACTTAAATGTTTGCACATGCATCTCTAATCTCTATGTATCTGATTATTACTAGGCACAATAGGTTACTTTCTGATATCCACCTGAGGGTGGATATAAAAATCATCAGGTAGATTTCAATGGTAATGTGTTTCACCTGTACTAATTAATGGAATGAATTTTTATGCTTCTTCCTCAAGTATAATTCATTTTTTATTTGTTGATTTTTTTTGTGTGTATTTCATACAGAACACCCCAATCTTATTCATCTATATACTCATATCCCAAATGGCACCCTCCCACAGCTCCCCACCCCCACTGGAGCCCATATACTCTGTCATCCCTGTTACTGTCCACTGTGTTGTCAGTGCCCCCAGCCTTTCTCCAGTACTTGTCCATCCGCTCAATTTAGTCAGCCAATCTAGAGTTCCTTGTTTTAGGAAGATCAGCTCTTCCTCATCTAGCAGCAATCAGGTGCCACTATTCCTTTAGATAAGATTTGGTCTGCTGCTCATTTTCCCAGTTCTATGCTGGGTTACTGTCTGGGAGTCTCTTCGGCCGGCTATGAACCGTCCTTAACTCCAGTTCCAGGGGAATCCAAAGCCCTCTTCTGACCTCCGCAGCATTGCACGGCACGGGTGTACTCAGATACACACAGGCAGTACACTCATACACATAAAATAAAAATAATAAAATATATATTGAAAAAAAAGATGGGGGTCTGCTGTTATTTTCCCAGTTCTATGCTGGGTTACTGTCTGGGAGTCTCTCGGGGGGCCACCCTGGTGTTTGCACTTTCTTATTTCCTTTTTCAGTAGCGGGTTTCTTTCACACTCTCCATTCCCACTAAGCATCTACTCTGGGTGAGGCACCATGGACTCAAAGCCAGGGTCTTTCCTGGGAGGCCTAGGCTCAGGGCTGGAAAGCAGAGGGTGGGCTGGGCGGAGCTTCAGGCATTCGCCCCACCCCCCTCGCCCCGCCCCTTCCCTCCCTGACCGGCACTCGGCCTCGGGGCTGTGAGGCCGGAGCGCCCCCGAGTGGCTGTGGACCCGCGCTGCTGCCAGCCTGCGCATGCGCGGTGATGGCGGAAGGGGAGGCTTTGGGGACTGAGGGCCCGGCATATCCGGATATGGAGGAGGCAGTGGGCGAGGAGCTCTCCGCTCTTAGCGCGATTTTCTGCGGTCCCCACGAATGGGAGGTGCTGAGCAGCTCAGGTGAATAACCCAACCCGACGCAGAGGCATCCCCAGGCCTCCGTGCTCGTCCGGCCCGGCCCACAGTGGGGTTCTGACTTGTGTCGCCAGGCAGGAGTGGGAGGCCACCCCGACACGTGGATGGCGAGGTGGGGTCCCCAGGCCTCCGTGCTCGTCCGGCCCGGCCCGGCCCACAGTGGGGTTCTGACTTCTGTCGCCAGGCAGGAGTGGGAGGCCACCCCGACACGTGGATGGCGAGGTGGGCGCCCGGTCTGTGGGGTGCTCCTCCTTGGGATCTCACTACCTTGAGGCGGGTGCTCACCCTCCTCCCCATTGAAATCCGGCTCCCCCAGTGTCCCTTTCCAGCCAAACTGCGTTATGTTCTTGGCAGTACCCACCAAATCTAACCCCACTTTGTATTTGGGTGTCTACATCCCAGAACAGTGTCAGCCACAAAGAGGCAGTCAGAAAATGCTTGCCGGGGGAATTTTTGAATTCGCCCAGTGCTCACTCTTAACCTTAGCTCTATTATGTTTGCAAATTGATCGCTTGTCTCTTAATTTTTACAATGTGCTGGGAAGTGACAGCCAATTCCAGATGCCTGCTGGACGCCTTTACCGTGCAGCCCACGTTCATTGATGCCTCCTCCCCTGCAAACACTGTCAGGGCCCGGTCCTCCTCTCTGGGAGCTTACAGTCTGCAAAGCTTTAAAAAACAATAGCTAAAACTTTCTGTTCCTGTCCAGGCACGGTGGTGCACACCTGTCTTTAACACTGGGTAGGTAGAGAGAGGCATGCAGATCTGTGAGATGGTTGGAGGTCAGCCTGGTCTGCATAACGAGTTCAGGGCCAGCTGTGGCTACAGGGAGACCTTGTCACAAAAACCAAAACAAAACCGCCCAAACAACCAAGCAACAGAAACTCCCGAACCAAACCTCCCTTTTTGAGATAGTGTGCTGGTGTAAATACATACTTTTTGAGGGCAATAGGATTTTTCCTTCTGTTGTTACTGTGCAACTACTATTGAAATTTCCTTTCTGACCATAAATTGGTTGACCTTTAAGAAGGTAATGTAGAATGTGCTGGGCCTAAGGAAGCCAGGTAGGGGAAGGACAGCTTCCGGGTTTCCCTGTAGTGAGTTAGTCATGGCTGGAGTTGGCTCAGTTTCATTGGTTCCTTCTTGCACCCACCCATCTATACACATTCATGGAACTCTGTGATGCCCTAGGTACCATGAACCTTCTGGAAGAATGGAGCTTCTTTCCTTTCAGTGTCTCAACCTGACATGTATCGGTTTGAAACTTCCTTGAAACCCCTATGAAAGGATTTATCATAGGGGTTTGTCACCTCTTCTGATTGGGTAGCAGTCTGAAATGGTCACCATCTCCTTTTTCATCTTCACCTCTCTCTTTATTGATAATTACTTCTGCCTGAAGCAGCTATTTAAAGAGACCAGTGGTGTTTCTGAATTTTTCTCTCATGGCTCAGTTTCAAATATCTGGGAGAAAGTAACCTATGATGTCTCATGGTGTCTTGTAGAAGTGGTAGTGGTCCAAGTTATGAGTTCGTAGCTCAACATTAAATATTGCTGATAGGTCTGAGAAAACCCTAAAAAGTAAGTGCTGAGAGAAAGAGAGCAGTCTCTTAATATTGAGAACACTGTGGACCCTTTATCTGCTGTTAAATTGAGCATAACTTTGAAGCCATGCCTTCTACTTAATTTAATTCAGTGTTCTGGCATCAGTAAGTAATTGAATTATAAAAGAATTCAGTGTAACAACTTAGGGCATTTTGTTGTTGCGAGGTTCACTGGCAAGTGGAACAATTCAGAGATTGACATGGGGCTGTTTGATGCTCACAGCTGGGAGTGGAGGGTCAGGTAAGGGCTTTCCCAGAACACAGCTGCTTGGCTCCCACTCTTGCCATCACTGGCACTTTGACTTGGAGGTTGTAACTCTGAACCCCCTCTTTTTTTTCTTGGATTCCACCAAGTAAGTCTCTCTCTCTCGCCAGTGAAATTTGAAGAACATTGCAGAGGGCTTGCATTTCTGATGAGAAAACAGCCTGGGAAGGCCCAGGCTGCTAACTCAAGGCTGAGTAATGGGGCTCAGTTTAGTTGGGTTTATGTTGAGAATTTTAGGTAATTTATTTACATTTTGGCCTCTGTGATGGTTGCATAAGTTCACAGTAAGACGCATCAGGTCTAACACTCTCTTAGGGGTACAAATTATGTGAACAGCCACACTCCTAGCTATGAGAGGGGATGGGGCTAGGCCAAATCAGGGATATCCTGTCCCTCCTCATCTCATGTGGTCTGCCTAGGTGCCAGGCTTGGTGTGGTCACCTACACCTTCCTGATCACCTTACTTGGTGAGAGGCATTCTTAGCTTTATTTTACAGAGAAGATCAGTGATGCTCAAACTGGTTAAATGACCCCCAAGCTCCAGTGTTGGATCTCTGCAGTGAGTTGCTCCTCCATAGAGATGGGCCTGCTGCTTCAGGAAAACAGTTTTTAGTCAAAACAAAACATAAACAAAAAAATTCCATGTGTTGAGAAAGCACTTTGAGTACCCAGAGAAAAGTCATGGGTGGGATCCAGTTTATATTGAGAGCAGTCCTCACTGGGTATGCTCTCCCTTTCATGCACACGTATGTGGGGCTCCTCAGTAGGTGAGGCTGCTTCTGTTGCTGTTCCCTTTCCTGATGGGATCGTACAGATTATATTGTTGTGGTGTAGTTGTGTGTGCAGTTTTGAAAATCATCTTACAGATTAGAAAGTTGCAAACTGAGGTATAGGGAGCTAACATCATGTAATACATTTGCTTGATAACTTCAGAGTGGGCTTTTGTTCAGAGTGGACTAATGTTCAGATTGGACTGGACCCTCTTGCAAAATGGGTCGTTACAGCAACACGCTGATGCAGTTTTGCCTGCTGATTGTCAGAACTGCTCACCTCTGGAAAGCCAACTCAGTCTTGAACTTTACCTTTAAACCATGGGATTGCCACTTTTACCTTTTTTTTTTTAAGTTTCTTTCCTTTGGTAATAGCATTTAAACACATGCAAAAATCCAGCTGAAGCATAAGCAAGCATTTATGTTTGTATATTTGTGGTGAGCTGTCTGGAGGTGAGGGGAAAGAAAGTCCGGTCACATAAAGTATGAAGAGGTATGGGATGCTTTTGAGTGGCTTTCTGTGCGGAGTCTTTGAGGATATATAAAAACTGGGGGGAAAAGCAAGTAGAGGGGCTGTGAGCTGGATATGGTGTGAGAATGATTTTTTTTTTTTTTTTTTTTTGGTCTTTTTGAGACAGGGTCTCCCTGTAATCCCAGCTTAACTGGCACTTGCTATATAGACCAGAGTGGCCTTCAACTGAGAGATGTGTCTGCCTCTGTGTACCACCACGCCCAGCTGGTAAATGATTTCTTAATGAACGCTAGATGGAGAACTCATTCTCTCTTCTGTTTACTGTAGGCCGTGAAGTAGAGAGAGAACTTAAAATAGCATTAGAGGGACTGGAGAGATGGCTTAGTGGTAGAGAGCCCTTCTTGCTCTTCCAAAGGACCAGAGTTAGGTTTCCAGCACGCACGTGGTGCAGCTCACAACCAACCACCTGTAACTCCTGCTCCAGGGGGTTTATGCTCCCTTCTGGCCTTTATGTGTATGCACTCACACATATATAATATAAATAGCATTAGAGTAGAATCTGGGGTTTAGTTTAGTTTGAACTTCTGTTGTCTAGGGTATGTTTAGAAGCATGTTTTCTCTCATGTGTTTATAAGGAAAGGTTAAGGTTTGATTGATTGTTTTGATGCAGTCTGACTATGTAGCCTAGTTTGTCCACAAACTCTAGACCCTCCTGCCTCAGCCTCTTAACTGCTTCGATTGTAAGTGTGTGCCACCAAACTGGGCTAGGAAGGATTTGGTTTGTATCTGTCTCGGTTTGAGTTGTAGTTATAAAATCAATATACTTATTGTCACAAGGCAGAGTGACTTATAGGAAACAGCTAGTGAATGTGTATATGAACTTGAAACAGGGAAAACCCTGCATCTTCTGGTAGAAGGTTTAGAATTGATGAAAACAGCCTTGGGATTAATGAAAAATTTCCTTTGCTAGGGCAAACTTAAGTTCTTCTGGGCATTGCTGTTTATTGAGAATGATGAGTTTGTAGGTTAATAACTGGTGTTGTGGGGACAGAGGCTGAGATTTGCATAAGATATATAATTACTTTTCTGTTAATTGCCCTGTTGCTAAGCTGTTAATAACCTTAAATAACCCTGAAGCAGATAATGACTTTAAAGCAGAGCCCCTTTGTTTCTCTTTTTGTTAAGGGGGAAAAAAAAAAAAGAAAGACAAACAATTAGACTTGCAGTGAATGAGATATGTGAGAATTCTGGGGCAAAAAAGAGCCAGTTTAATTGCTTGTACCAACTAAGGCAGATGAAATGAAAGGGGAAGATTGAGTTTTGGCAAGAAAAATGAGTTTTCAAAAAGATTCTGTAATTTTTTTCACCACATTACAAATCAGCAGAATGGGGAGTGTTATTATATTGGACTTTTAAAAAAACTATTATTTTTATTTTATGTATATGAGTGTATTGCCTGCATGTATGTAAGTGCACCTGTGTCATGCAATGCCCACATAGGTCAGAAGAGAGCATCGAATTCCCCTGGAACTGGAGTTAGCCGCCATGTGGGTGCTGGGCATTGAACCCAAGTCATCTGCAAGAGCAGTCAGTGCTCTTAACTGATGAGCCATCTCTCCAGTCCTGGACTTCTCATTTTCTTGTACCGACAGGTAACATCACTTTGTGTAGCTGTGGTTTGAGGCTCCAGTGTGCATGTGGGTCAGGGATTTTCCAGGAAGATGAATTAGGAAGAATGTGAATTCTTTCCAACTCTTTTATTTTTTTTAACTTTTACAAAAATCTTATTGAGAATTTCATATATGCATATAAGGTGTTTTGATCAAATCCATGCCCACTCCCTCCCCTCCAACATTTGCCCCCTTTGAAGAGGTAACC